AGGGTGCTCAGTTTAAAAAGAAAAGAGATGCTTGAGGGAGGACATGATAAGGGTTTGCAAAATACTAAATGGCGAAGAGAAAGTAGATGGGGATTTATTATCTCTCACAATACAAGAACTAGGGGTCATAAAATAAACCTAGTAGGTAGTAAGTTTAAAACTAACATAAGGAAGTTCTTTTTCAAAGAGCATGTAATGAAAGTGTGGCACTCACTGCCCAAAGATGCTGTGGAAGTTGACAGTTTAGCCAAATTCAAAAAGGGATTGGACAAATTCCTGGAGGAAAGGTACATCAGTAGCTATTGAGCATGGGAGTTATGGGCACAGCCTCTGAATCAGAACTTCCTAGACCTTAAATGATGAAGGCTGCAAATGACAGAGAAACAGTGGAAAAAACCCTGGTCATACCCTGTTCACTCTCCCTTTCAGCATCCACTCTGAGTATCTGCCACTGTGTGACAGGATACTTGGCAAGATGGACCTATGGTCTGACCCAGTAAATAGCATTTCTTATGTTCCTCCCCCCTCTTTAGTCCAAGAGAGAGTATGTGTACTTGTGTTATATTTAATTTCCCCCTTTTTGGAAACAGTGACATGTCCCAGATCAGTGGAAAGAGATTAAGGGCGTGCTTCACTCCCTCCAACACAGAGTTTCCCTTTGGTGTCGTATACTAGGCTGCCTAGTGAAAATTAACCTTTCAGAAACCAGAGCATTTGGGAGCCCAAAAGCTTGTCTAACATCACTCCCAACTATACAGTTGGTACAATAAAAAAATTACCAAACAAATCATGCTTCTTACAACTTGTAAGATTAGATAATAGGAGTGAGGGTTCATAGGATTTTCTTGAGGAAAGCACTCAGATTAGTTAGGATCCTCCACCATACTTCATATCAAACAGTGCAATGGCTAAATAGCAACAGCAAGGAATCAGAAAAGGCAAAGGCTCCAAAGACACAATCTGCGGGTGGTTTATAGATCATCTGCTGATAGGCTGCAGAGAGCTGCTGGGCCATGTGATGCCAGCTGGTTCACCCTGCTTCCAGCAGCTACTGCAGGTACCAGCACTCTTTGTAATAAAGAAGAGTCTGGATATTTATCAAGAAGCTAGAAGCAAGGAGGAGCTGCCAGCTGAGCAGGAAAAGAAACACTGTAGATTCCTAAAGCAGGGGTTGGGGGAAGTTTTCATAGCCCTTGGTGACAATGAGGTCTACCGTATGACAGAATATGATAGCCACACAGTTAAAGAACTGAAAGACTGGTTCATCAGAATTTTAAAAGGTATCAATTTTCACTTGGGATCAATTTTAGGGACAAGGGATGAAATTACAACTGATCAAGCAGCAAGAAAAGTTGCACTGCCATTTTATTGGGGGGGGGGCAGGGGGCGGGGAAGAGTAATGCCTTAAAGCTCCAGCTGCTGAAATCTTGTTATTACTTAAACTTATTGATTTTTCATTTCTTTGAGTTTTTCAAAGGGAATGCAAAGAAGAACTGCACAATTTGAACCCTAAAGTTTCTAAAAGGCAGACAGCAAATAAGAGAAGAACCCAACTATTATGATCTTTAAGATGCTTTTGGGATGGCAAGAAAGAAGGGCCCCTTCCTCCATTCCCACAGGCAGTAAGCAAGGAGGCTGGTACTCACCTTTCCTAGCATGCATAGAGGGCAGGGAACACGTTCATGCAGCAGTGAAGGCACAGAACTGTGTATTCAGTGGAAATAAAGATTGTGCGCTTTCTTTGTGCCTCCAAGGCACTGCTACAAAGTGGGGGAAGGGGTAGGGAATGGGGTTGGTTATTACAGAGTATTATTTTGAAAAGCAAATAGAGAAGTTCCCACCAGACAGGGGCACTTCTCACCAGAGCCACCCACGCCTCTGCTTCTGGGATGTGGTCCCTGCAGGGAAGAGTTTACTGGAAAAAAAGAGCATGGAGCAGCCCGTCATTTGACCAGGCCATAATATGCCCAGAACAGGTGCAGCATAACCACAGAACGTAGTTCCTGAAGCTCCCAACCTGGAACATTAATTGCACTGTAACCTTACAAGGAATAAAGTCCATATAGCCATGGCATGAACCAGAGAAATACTGCAGTTCAGTGAATAAATAGGGGAGAACAATGAACTACACATAATCTTTCAGCAGCATAGCTGTACCAACAGTACCAGTTCATGACCTTCATATTTTAAATGTGAAGGCCATGAACTGGTACTATTATACTTGTCAGGAAGTAAAGCAATATTCTTCAGTGTAAAGGTATTTTATGTAGCTCTCATATTACTCTCTCCTTTCTATGTCATTTCTTTCATCACATCAGCTAAAAGCAGTTCTGACCATAGCATGGACACACCAAATGCCTATACATTTTCTGCAACATCATTCCATCTTTCATTCCTTGAATTCAAATGCACCAACCTCATCTTTGTTCAAAATGCACTTCCGTTTTGGCTGGAAAATTTCACCTTAGCTTTCAGGTAAGGGAAAGACTCTAGGCCTAAAATCAAATGGGCTAGAAAGTTACTGGACTCTTTAGTCAGATGCACTTCAGCAAACAAACTGCTTAAGGCCATGTGGTGCTGAAATCCCTTATGTATGAGAAACTACACACATTTTGACTTAAAAAGCACACAAACAGCATTCTTAAAACAAGCTTTTCATCTCATAAACAAGTAATGCAGAGTCCCTTAGGTAAACACTCAGCATTTTCTTTAAAAAACCCCCCATAAAAATGATAAAACAGTCCTACCTTGGTTTAGTAACGAATAACAGTTCTGCACGTTTTGGCAGCACCCTCTAGGCAGTAGATAACTGAAGAACCCTCTGAAGGGTATTATCTGTGTCCAGCATATCCACTCCTACTAACCAGGCACTTTATCTAAGAACATTTCCCTTTTCCACCCTGCCAGCACTTTAAGGCTCTTCAAAACTTTGCATACTTCACAGTTACAAACTGCCTCTCAAGGGAAAGCAAGGGAAAGTGGCAGTTTTCTATTAACGATATGTTTGTTACAAGTTATAGCTATTCCTATATGGAATGCAGAGTATCCTACTGTGGTTCAAAGACTTTTTGGCTATAAGTATGGGGTGGCTATTTTACCCTCCAAGGCTGAGGCCAATCTCTTATGTGAAGCAACCTCCGTAAATGTTACTGCAGGCTCCATCGCATATCACTTCATCATCTCATCTGCATGGACTGTGTAGCAAATGCTTCAAAAAGCTAATTTTGAATCGTTTGAGAGATGGGTTTTTTATCATTAAATTTGGTTCCTCTCCCCTTGTGAAGGCCAGTCTGTTAAGTTAGCAGGAATCCAATTCTTCCATCTCCTGAGAGGGAGTAAATCTATAACTATTTCCTAATGTCACATAAGATCAATTTTGCCATTGATATGGTGGAGGTCCAATTTTATACAAAGAACTTGCAGGACAAGAGCCCTGTATATTTAATTGGAAGGTTCAGAACCTCCTTCCCAGTGATAAAAGGTTACAAGACACTGGACTTGAAACCTGTCCCTGGTCTAGAACTGATTCCTGCAGTTCCCCACTCATCAGACCAGTGCAATTAGGAAGAAAGAAATAGAAATTTTTGACTGTGTCAACGACAGCAATTTGGAGCTGCCTTAGCATGATATAGCTAACTGCAAGCAGAAGTAGATTAGTCATCAAAAGTGCAAGCTAGGGCTGCAAAAATTAAAATGATTCTGCAGGCACAAGAGATGCAACTCTCTCCCACTACATAGTGGGTCCCATTCAGTGCTGTCAAAATGAGGGAATGACTGCATTTTAGCTTCTCTCATTGCTTGGAGTGCCAGACCAGCAGAGACTTCCTATGCCTGAAGAAGGGTGACTGCACCCAAAAGGTTGCTAAGAACTACTTTTTTTCCAACTACTCAGTTGGTTTAATAAAAGATATCACATCTACCCGAAGAACTTTGCCGGCACAAGCTACACAGAGGAAGGATGGTCAAGTGATTACAGCACTAACCTAGGATTTAGGCTTGGGGGCAAGTCCATGGCTCCATTTCTGTGTTGTCTCAGGCAAGTCACTAAGCCTCTCTGCAAAAAGCGATGCTAGTACTTCTCTGCCTTGTCAGGGTTAGAGCATAAATACGTAAGAGACCAAGGTGCGCAGGTACACAACTCATAAACCAAATGTACACAAAAGGCCCATTTTAAATTCTCCCAACTGTGCTGGGTAAATCCAGGTCTTACCGACACATTCAAAGGCATTTCTCAGCACAGGGCACCATCCTACCAACATTCACTAGAGAGATTCTCCAGTACAAATATTACCAAGTATTGTTTCCCACACTCCTAACTGATAACGAAAAGCTCAGACATTTTTGGCGAAAAATTTCCATGCAATTCCCCTTCAGCACATATAATATTTCAGCTCAGGAAGTTACATATTTGGAAAGTTGGGACTGACTGAAAACAAGGAGTAATAATGCAAACCCTTGGGAAACTATATCTGTAACACAGCAAATGATGTAAATGAAGTTTCTGGAACACAAATCAGTGAGTACCAAATTAAGCAGCAAACAAGTTTACAACAGGTATCAGGTCCAGTGAATCATTCAGTTCCATGTCATCTCCTAATTTGGATTAGGAAATCAAAAGGTACCCTAAATCAAATGGTATCCCATCTTCCTCTGCTAACTCCTAATCTGTAAACCCACACTGTTGTACCATGTAGTTAACAAAGCAGGATACTGTAATACATCATAGCTCCAAGGCAGGATTGGAGAACTACTCAACAAGAACAAATGCCTCTTGTGTTAGGGGAGCAACTGAGAGAAGTAAAAAAATAAAAAATTAAAGACACACCCAGTTATTCCCTTCTGAAAAATATGGGTTATTAAAGATGACACATACTGTGGGCAAGCTCAACTGTGCTGGAAAGAAATGCTTAAAGTCTTCATCTTTAACACTGATCCTCTAAGCAGGAAAGAAATAGATCACAACAAAAAGCTGAGATTTCACTACAATCCCCTCTTCCTACCTTCTTCCTCTTTTATAAACTTGAGAGTCACTATCATACATGCAGGAATGTTCATTCCCATGGAAGACAGGCTGGGAGAATGCAAGAACTCCAGGAACTGAGTTTTAATACCCAAAAAAGCTTCCTGATCTCAATCATCCCGATTTCACATGATAGGCAATCTGCCCCTGCTAACCTGATAATTATATTTTGGTTTCCACATAGCATCATGACAGACTCAATTAAGCTATTAGCTAATATGAATGCAGGTGACAAAAATATGCCAATACAGCACTTAGCAGCCACATACAATGGCTTTCATGAGTGCTACACTAATAAATAGTGCTGAGTAATAGCCCCAAATACTCAAGTCACCTTTTTATATGACCAATGCAAGTCAGCAGAGGAAACTCCCCCATCTCGCCTAACATCCCAAGAAAGGTCAGCCAAAATGACCATAGCTAAAAGGTAAAAGAGTGCAAGTCCACAGCTGATTTCTTTTCTTTAACCTTACCTTTTCCAACTTCAACATACAACAACTTACTTAGCCATGTCAGTCTACCTTACTTGTATTACAAAAAACTTCACCAATTACCCTTCTTCTTTTGGGAGGAAGATATGAAAAACAGCCACCTTCTTTGGAAAGCTAGTTGGTAATCTAATAAAAACTCCTTGGTTTCCTCAACACACGATGAGCCAAATCCTAACATAACACAGACGGGAAAGGATCTACTGAGTTATCAATAAGACAGAGAAACCACATATGCTGATAGGCCTCAACAGAACAGTGGTGTGACCCTTCCTAGAAAATTAACAGCAACAACTCCTAATTAATGTTATTTCCAGAACTGCAAGTGGCAGCAAAAAGTAAGAGAAAGGCTGACCAGAACCTTTCAATTAAAAAAGCAGTTGATTAAATTAGGAATAATTTTTAAGACAGTGTCGCAGGCACTTGGGTGCCTGCTCCTGGAAGAGCAGAAACTGCCTGGGGAGAGCCCAGAGCCAGACAGGAGCCCAGGTGCAGGTTGCCATGGCAACTGGCTAATGAGGCAATTAGCCTGCACCTGTACCTGGTCAGCTGGCTGGAAGGGGCAGGGCCCCTAGGCCCATATAAACCCCAGGACAGGGACTAAGGAGGTCAGTTCTCTGCTAGCAGCCAAGGGAGAAGGAGCCCTTCTAGAACAAGTGAAGGGATGAGGCCTGACTAAGTTCTGCTCCAGGTAATGTAAAAGGACCGAGCACACCGTATGTAGCTTGTGTTATGTTATAGCCCAGGGGCTTATGTTTTGTCTGCTGTTTTATAAGACCGGTGGTTTGGGTGAGGCTATTTGGGGAAGGTGGCCTCACTGGGGGCCCATGGCCATGTGGGGACCCTGGTGCCAGTGAGGGGGCACAGACCCTGGTACAGAGACTGGACTGCAGAGAGCCCAGTGAGGACAAGGGGATGAATTATAACAAAGCCTAGGCAAGACCAAGCCAATACCATCTGCGAGGCTTGGGGCATGGTAAAGGGGCAGTTGGAGCCACACACATAGCCCTGAAACACCCATTGTGAAATGGGACCTACAAGGGATCTGGGAACCCACAGGGTTCAGACAGTCCATCAAAACATGTCCAAGAGGACTTAAAGGCAGCCTCCCTATCTTTATATTTCCATCAAAGATGTGGCGGGTGACAACTGAGGGTGCCCATTGGGCCAAATTGGCACAGTCGAGGGGCCTTAGGAGAGCATGGCTGTCCCTGAGGATCCCATCCCATGACAGATGAGTATTGGCAATTTAATACTTTTTATGACTCTCTTTAAGCAGGCAAGCTCTGCAAGATCATCTCTGTGTTTCAGGTGTCTGTAACGGGATGAAGCTCATAGACCACTAGGAGTGGAGGAAAAAATTGATTAGCTAGGTAAGCCGTCCTACAGATGGGGAGGGACTTCTTTCCTACAAAGCCTTCTGGGTATGGAAGCCTTCTTTGAACCAAGGGTTTTACAGAAAGGGCTTCAATTTTATTGCAATATCATGGAAGGCAAAAATGAAACAAATGTTAGAAGTTACCAGTGAAAACCCAACAGTTGGGCATAAAGCAACTGCCAACTTCCTGGGATTAGGAAGAAACTATTCCTATAATCTAGTATGGGGGAGGAGGGTTTCCATCTCCTCCTCTGAGCCATGTGGTACTGCTCACTCTTGGATGATGCATTAGGACTAGGCAGACCACTTGTCAGCTCTAATTGGGAGATCTCTATATTCCTAGTAAGGGTATGAAAGTCAGACTTCTTAAAATGCCATTCAAAATAGACATGGAATCTACATGAAAAAGAACGAGACTTATTTCTTTCTCTTGCTGCTGTTACTGAAGACTAAGCATTAGTAAATCCTACAGAAAGCCCCATGCCTGTCCCCTCTGCCAAGTTTGACGCAAGTCCTAAAATTAAATCTGTTGGCTTAGTGAAGATTTCTCAGCTGGTAAAAGTAAATAAAACCAGAACTTAATACAACCTTAACATTTTTCAGAACTGACCACAACTGTGGGGGCAGAGAGGGGAGGAGGCCAGATGTTCAACACCACACAGCTGTGCTTGGACTGTACTCAATCTTACATAATCTGTGCCAAACTACATCATTAGTCCTGACACTGAGAAGCATGGAAACTCACCCCAGAGAACCCTTCTGGTGCCAGGAGGATGGAATTCCCACATACACAATCTGCTAACACAGAGCAGTGTCTGCTGCTGACATGCCATGCATTGCTCGGTTAACCAGTCTGCAGGACTGTGGCCGTGGATCCTAAGAGAAACAGCTCAACAGCTTCCACTTCTGAGCAGCTATCTGTTCTATCCCAGAATATATGGAGGCACACAAAAAGGCAAAACCTTCATCAGGGACCTCCAACACCCAAGCTAGCAGCTGTCAGGAGTCCAAGAACAGAGGGATTCATTTTGGTTTACTATATATATACATAAATCAAAGAAACACTGCTGTGTCAGGTGCATACTAGGCAGATGCTGATATGAAAAGGCAGCACAAGAAGGGAAAGCCCTACAATGTTCAGATGACAGGCATTGTGAGAAACAGTGATAAAGGAAATCTTGACAAGGATGCAGCTACCTGTTCTAACTTAGGGGCTCCACCCTTTAGACATCCCCAGATCACTAAGCAGCTCTGTTCAAAAAGGCAGCATCTACCCCTGCCTTAAAAGAGCACAGCATCCAAGTTAGCATCTGCACTCTTTTCATGAGTCATTAGCTAATAGTCAACTTCTCTGGTATTATTTTAAACAATAAGCCTGATTGAACAAAGCTGCTTTGTTCTGAAGAGGGGTTTTCTTAGAGTCCTCCTCCAAGGCCCCCCACTATCTAGCTCCTTAGTTCTATATGAAGGAGAGACACTCATCACTTGCTTTAATGTCCCTAATTTATCTATCTGAATCCATCCTCCTTGCATAACTTAGTCATAGACTCCTTACATCCTGGATCAGGTATTCAGAGCCCAGAAGGACTCGGCTACTATGTGAGGCATGTTCAGTGAGGGTCTAAAAGTCTGCCACTTTTTTTCCAGTATTTGGCACATTTGAAAGTCCACTCCACAAAGGTCTCTTGGGATATGGGAAAGGAAGACAATCCCTCAACCTAACTCGGGCTCAGAGGCTCCAGACCACAGAAACAGAGTGCGGGTCTTTGCTATTCTGCCCCCTGTTAACATCACAGGTGTGAGCCCTTCCTTACATGCCTTTTCTCAGACACCTTGGAAGAGTTAAAAGTATTCTGACTTTCCATTAGTGAATGTTGCAAGCATCTGATTTTGTTATGTGAAAACAAAAATTCAACCACCACAAGATGGTTGAAGAGTTGTTTCCAAAAGCAGATCAAACAGAAATTGGATTTCAAAGAGACTGGGTTCTATTTGAATTATTCAACTGAAATGTCAGTGTCATAAATTAGTCTGAAAAAAACTGTTCATAATTCATAAGCAACTTCCTTTTCATGTTTGTATACTTTTCAGAAGAGTGTTTTTTGAAGGAGCTCAGATGAGTGGATACAGTCCTGCTGCCTCCTTAATTGTAGATATCATCTACAGCTATCATCAATGGAACTACAGTAAACAGATTACAAAGAGTTTCAAGTCATTTTGTCAAGGGACTAAAACAGTTTCTTTCAGGGTACTAAGATTCATAATCAGATAAATCCGTTTAAGAGAAGCTGGGGGGAGAGGAACCTAAAAAAAATGCAGATCAATCTGTTGTTTCAAACTAACGAAGAAAAATGTCTTCACAATTTTAAGCTTTTTCCTCCCTTGCTACTAGTTAATGATCCCTCAGAACCTTGACACTTATGCTGTGTTCTTTACTGATGGGGAAAAAAACCCCTTTTGTGTAATATATGTGCAGCTTTTCATATGTTGGGTGAGGGTTGTTTAAAAGTACTGGAACATGCACCAATTTCTAAGCTGTGCCTGGCTTGCTCAAAGAAGCTTTAGTGGAGAGTTGCTCACGCATGCTAGGTTTGTATAAACCCATTTGTTCCTTCAGACTCACTCATGAGCAAGAAAATTAGGATTTTCCAAAGCAGTTAATCATTTCAGTGCTGAGAAGACAAGCATACTACATGTCAATTGTGCCAAGACCACTATTACAACCCTATCCCACAATGTTGTACAAATGCATAAGCAGACCTGGGGGACTGGGGGGGGGGGGGACATGGCCTTCCCTTCTTTTTGGACCTCTGGAACAGATAATGTTCTAAATGCTTCTAGCACTGCCCTGCCTGCTGCAATGTAAAACCTTCCAATCAGCTCCCTTACTTACCAAATCTGGGTGCACAAAAACTACTGGATACTTCTGAAACTTTAGGCCTAAAGTTCTTGGTGTGGTATTTGGCACACAGGAACTCTGAGGTCACTCCATATATGGGAAGCTACTGAAAAGATACAGAAGGGTAACATTTCTTGAAGCATCAAAGTGACGTAAGTCAACTAGAAAGTTCTGCCCAAGTGACTCAGTCATTCACCCAAAGTTAAAATTGAGAAGAAGTGGAAGGAGCTTATAGGCTGGAGACAGAAATTAGAGCAGACATCTAAATGGAAGCAAAGGGCAAATAAGTGTTAAGTGTTAGGTGGTTTAGGTTGTAGCCGCATTGGTCTAAGGACATAGGCAGACAAGGTTCCTTGGGTGAATTTGATCTCTTTTATTAGACCAACCCAAATAGTTGGAGAATAGTTATTAAGCAAGCTTTCGGGTTCAAAAACCTTTTGTCAGGCTAAGGAAGTATCAGCAGTTGGTGTGTGCTCTTCCTGGATGGAATGAAAAGTAAAGAAGCCAGGGGCTGGGCTGGGGAGTCAGTTGCCAGGCAGATAATGTATCAATTTTTTATACGTAATTATAATGTATCAATTTTTGATAATCGGCCTGGCAACTGACTCCCCAGCCCAGCCCCTGGCTTCTTTACTTTTCATTCCATCCAGGAAGAGCACACACCAACTGCTGATACTTCCTTAGCCTGATGAAAGGTTTTTGAACCCGAAAGCTTGCTTAATAACTATTCTCCAACTATTTGGGTTGGTCTAATAAAAGATATCAAATTCACCCAAGGAACCTTGTCTGCCTAAGTATTAGGTGGTAAACTGAGCCAACCCAGGGATAGCTGAGTTTCTAAACAGAAAAAAGACTGGATTCAAAGCACAAGTCATAAATATGTCTTAAACTATCACATACTAATACAGAATAGTTTTAAATTATAATTATGAGGGGTAGCAGTTCTTAAATGCTTGCACTGTATTATTTTTGGTTCTTTTGTACAGCTAGAGAGAAGCCAATGGATTTTTGCATGCTTAAGCAAAAAAAAAGTTAACATTGCTTAGACATTAGCATCAGCAACACAGGGGAAGAACTCAATCTAGAAAAGGAAAAGAGCAAGTCACAGACTTTTTAGAGATTAGCATTTCTCTACTTTGGTAAATTAGATTAATTCAAGTAAGTAGGGCCTGATGAAATTCATCCAATAGTACAAAGAGCTGGCAGAAGCACTCTCTCAAACAAAAATAATTACCTTGGAGAACTAGCAAAAGTCTAGTGAGGACCCATAAGAATGGAAAAGAAAAGCCTTTTTTTTTTTTTTTTTTTTTTCCTTTAAAGACCCCCAAGGGATCACAGACTAGTCTGGCTAATTTCAACTTCCAAAAACTACCAAAACAAAGAGGCAGTGGTGGCAGGTACCTACATGGTACAAGATGGTAAGTATGGTAACAGCTAGGGGTCTGCTTAAAATCGCAGAGAAACTGAACAATTTTCACGGGTTAGGCTCAGCATAAATAGGAAATTCCACAGATATTTCCTGGATGTGCTCCAGCATCCCTGCCCCATAGTGCTGATTGGTGGAAACACCCTGGGGGGGGGGGGGGGGGGGGGAAAGGGGGGGCCGGGAGCTTGTCTGCTGCCCTTTGTGCCATCCCACCAGTTGGTGCCTTCCTCCCCCGACCTAGGCAGGCTGCGAGGCTGGGCAGCAGTGGCAATGAGGACCGCTTGCTCCCACTGGGGAGCCAACATTTTATTTTTATTACTTTTTTTTTTTTTTAAGTTGATTTTGTGGACAATGTCAGATTTCATAGTTTCCACAAAATCCACACAACTGCAACTTGAATAGGCCCTTACTAATAGCCAGCCAATGTGGATCTGTCAAGAATAAATCATGTCAAACAAACCTAAGCTTCTTCCTGTGAAATGGCAAGAGGCCTTGTAGTTGATTTTAGGTAAGTTTGATTTAGATAAGGTTTCTGACACCTTCTCATATCCCATTCTCATAAGCAAGGTAAGGAAATAAGATGAAAATTAAACCATTTGTTGAGTGGCTGCACAACTGGTTGAAAAATCTTATTAGGAGAGAACCATTGATAGGTGGCTCACTCTGAGAGTTGGGGGAGGGAAGGCAAAGAATGGACTCAAATAGGTGTCTGTCCTTGGTCCTGTCCAGTTCAACTTGTTCATTAATTACCTGGATGATGGAATAAAGTATGCATTATATCCACAAATGATACTGACCTGGGAGGAATTGCAGGCACTTTGGACAGCAGGGTTAAAATTAATTCAACCTGATCTTAACAACTTGGAGAAAAAAAATGCACAAAATAGGGAAAGGGTGGGGGCTGAAAGGTAACTACATTTAGGTAGAAATAATGGGACAAACAGAAAAGGGAGAAAGAATGGCTAGGCAGCAGTTGAGGAAAACAATCTGGGGGTTGTGGCAGATCAAAAACTGCACACAAATATCATATTGGGATGTATAAACTGAAGGTTCATGGTAACCTTTCCACTCTACTCAACACTGGTAAGGCTCCAGCTAAAGTGTGGGGCCCAAAACTGAACACAATGCTCCTATATAAATGTAGATCAGTGGGAGGATACAGAAGACAGCAAAATCAGAAGCTGAGAAAACGTGAATTATGAAAAAAAGTTGGAAGATCTAAGTTTGATAAGAGAAAAGATAGCTGAGGAAAAACCATCACAGCTGCCCCAACAATACTATGAACCTACTGGAGATGTGATAACAGTCATCAAATATGCAAGATTGCTGCAAAAAGAAAGGTAATGAACTGTTCTTAGCATCCACTGGGGATAAGGACAAATTAAACACTTGAACAGATTGCCTAAGGAGGCTGTGAAATCTCCAGGTTGAAGGTATTTTTTTAAACAAACATCTATAAGAAATGGTCACAGTATAGCTGATCCTATCTTGGGATAGAAAAGTCAGTCTTGTCCATCCTGCTAAGTCTCTTCCAGTCCTAAGGTGTTCAAATCCATGTCCTTAGATATGGCACTTCTGGATAACAAGAAACTGTTGGAAGTTACTTGAAGA